ATAAAGACTTCCTTGTGTCTTCTTTACCCGTGCAAGAAGTCTTCTTTGTTGATCGAGAATTGTGAGATAACCTGATTCCATCTTGATTTTAAAATCTTTGATCATCTAAGCGGCTGAGGCTAAGTATATGAGTCTTGAGTTTAAGAGCATAAAGTACATTTTTGAGGGTCAACTTATTTTCATCTTGACAACTTACTAGAATGCTGCCTTTGCCTGATATAACGATGCTGGAGCCGTCGCCGAATTTCTTCACTCCTCCGGGTGATTCAGTGAGTTCATAAAATAGATTTCGATCTCCAATCATGTGATTGTGGCACCTGTGTTTAAGTATCACATTTGATCTTCGATTTGAGTCTCCATTGCACCTTGTAGTAAAGTTGCCATTAGAAGCGTTGACTCAGCCTTTTCTTCGGTCTTCGAGAGGTGAGCTTTCTCCTCCTTTTTCTCTGCATAGCATTCAGATGCATAATGCCCCATTTTGTCACAGTTATAGCATTTCACTGTGGATTTGGCATCCAACTTTCATCCGAGCCTCTCCCATTGCTTCTTCCTCTTCCTCAGCCACGCCCTCAACCTCGGCCACGTCCTCTACCATGAGGATTTCCACCCTTTATTTTCTCGGTCCCATGAGAAAACAGGACTTGTTCTTCCTTTTTCTGCTGACAAGACTTGAGCTTCTCTTCATAGATCTTAAGAGATCCCACTACTTCTTCAAATGGCATGGAGTCGATGTCGCTGAATTGTTTGAGAGACGCCGTAATTGGATCAAATCTCCCTAGTGTTGCTCAAAAGAAGCTTGGCAACAATAGTACCTTCCTCCAACTTTTCACCCAAATTTCTGATTTGAGTGACAACTCGTGACAGTTTTCTAGTGAAGTCTGTCACAGTTTCATCATCCCCCATTTGAAGCATCTCAAAGTCTTGCCTGAGACCTTGAAGTCTTGGTTTCGTGAGACGGGTCACTCTCACATACGTTGCTTTGAAAAGCTCCCAAGTTTCTTTCATCATTTTTGTGATGTCGAGTTGTGTCTGGATGTCTTCCGACATGGCTCCGAGCATCACAGAGAGGGCTTGCCAATCCTTCTTCCTTGCTATTGTCTCTGACTCAATAGCATCACATAAGCTGTGATCCTCCAAGTGGAGTTGCATACGCATCGCCTACACTGGATAATTGGTCTTACTCAAGACCGGGAACATACCTGGATATCCGGCATCTCCAAGTCCTTTCATACCAGCTCCACTTGCGGCGAGCGAGCTCTCGCCTTCCGTAGCATCTCCACGGTGCGGCATCTTCTTCCTTCTCTTCGGAACCTGTAGCTTTGATACCAAATGCTGGGATCAAAGGATCTGGAGAGAGAATGGGGAAGGATCAAAGCACAGATGTTTTCAAAGAAAACAGAGCAACCTCTCTTCTTCATGGATTTCATCGAACATGTTGAGTACAATTTATAGGGGAGAGTGAAAGTAACGGTCATTAAAGACAGTTCTGGCGATCGTGGGGCCATGATTCCACGTAGCTTTCATCTCAATCGTTATAACTCAGAAGAGATGGACGATCAGGATTAAAAATAATAAAACTTAAGAAACGGTAAACAACTTGAAATAGTCTTCTCAAGAGAAACTGCTAGAGTGTCGCCATTTCTGGCGATCTTCAGGCTTCTGTTTCTTGGCTGGGCTTAATGCCATCAACGTTCACTCACTACGTCTACTCAGATAGTGTGGAGGTACCTGGGCGTGTGCCGCCGTCGGAGGACTCTGACAGGGTATACATTTAAAGATTCAAATCCTTCAAGAAGCAAAGGAAGTCAACGACGAGCACATGGTTAGGCAAGGAAATCGGTTTATGGCCTGTTTGGACGTCTCTGTATGGACCTCCCATAAAAGAGGATCTGGCCCTCATATATGTGTTTTTTGTCGAGTCTTAGTCTTCTTATCAGCCTCGTCCTCATGGAGTATTTCCACGATGTCTCACGGTATCTAACAGGTATATTTCTACTTTAAGCCCGAGGAGAGAAGAGTCGCGGCATCATGTGAGAATGAACACTATCCCCAGTGCGCGGGCTCCATTTTTTTAATGCAAAAAATTATTAGGTCCATTAGTCTGCTTCGATATCACAACACGTTATTCTGCTAGGCGTGACGTAATTTCTTGATTCTACTATGTTATTGATCTACTTTGTCTACATCCTTACGAGATAGCCTTTGTAATACACCTACATTACATTGAGGACAGGATGCCATATCGCAAAAGATTACTTCACGAAAGAACAGCAAATGTCTAGATCTCAATGCTCTCCAACAAAAGAGACGATTCTCATAATCAAACATAGCGCGCCACCGATCCTCTGACAAGTTTATCCGATCTTCATTCCACATTCAGGAGACTCGTCACATCTACATGTTGAGAGGGGATTGAAGTGGAAAAGGATTAATGAAGGACATGATAGGCTTATCCCTTGCCAATAACAGTAGCATACGCAACAAGAAAAATATGCGCATAGAACATGATGAGAACATATTCGACATAAGAGTTTTATCATTTCTCGGTTATTGTGGTTTTCATTGTAATTGCATAACCCAACCTTCAGCAGATCACGTTCACTCCTTACTCTATATACATTACAAAAATTTATTGCCAAACAGGCTCACCGCACAGTGTTGCTTAGTAGCAATAATCAAAACCTACGATTTCCCGTGGACCAAGCATGATTCTGATCTATTTAACCACAAGACCCATCAAAGTAGGGTTATAATTAAGTGTTGATGATCTTTCGAGATCTCTTGGGTTCTAATGTGATATATTGTAATTGCGAGAAGCCTCAGCACAGAATATTTAATCTGGTATCGATCTCTTCATCATGAACCTTGTCTACAGATGAAATAACCTCCTGTACCTTAGTATGACAACAGCTCCCCACGTTATCCACTGATGATCCAGTCTTCCACGCACTCACAACACAGATTAATCTGTTTTCATTTCGTGAAAGAGCGTGTTGCCTGTCAACTGCTTCAAGTTCCCATCATCCCCGGTACTAATCGAACTGCTGATACATTCACCAACGGACCTCCCTGTGTTTGCTTCACTTGCCTGCCTTCCAAGCTCTTAGCTTGCGGCGGCATGTTACCCAACAAGAGCCATTAACGGACATAACGACGTCAATTTTTCAGCTGACTGAATATCCGTTAAACAAGAATCACTCTCTACGGTATTTGTTCTTGTCCGCAACTGTTGTCCTATCATCTTGATATTTCTGTTGTCCAGACCGATACATTAATAAAATGAAATTCTCCTCTAGCATACTAGAGAAAATTAATTCTTTCTTTATGATTAACTTTCTCACAGATACAATCGCCACACCGCTACACTGGACAATTCTGTTGGGCCACCAACACGAAGAGAACGAAAGTGTACTAGGATGGGAAACCGGGTATTTTTTAATCGAAGGCTATTTATTTTCTTGAACATGTTTACCACTAATATTGGTTGTAATCTATGTGTATCATGTGGACACAATTTGAATACCAGTACTCTTTCGTTTTAGCGTCAATGAAGAATAAGAAGAAGACAAAGTCGTGATGTAGTCATGCAAAAGCTCTAGGAGAGTACTTGGATGCGAGAAAAGCATTTGGGGTGCGAGTCCTCGATCACCTTATCTTTTTCTTCTAACCTCTCTTCGTTCTTCCCTTAAACCCATTTTCTCACAGGTTGGTTTGTTTTCCCTGTCCAGGAGGCCTAATGACAAGAGGTCCCACCATCTTCTTTTCCACCATCCAGGAGGCCTAATGACAAGAGGTTCCACATATCCTTCCCATGCCTGTCGAGCCTAACACCACGTACCCACCCGTGTCCGCCTATATGCCGCTATCTATTTCGAGGTGTACATCTGCGCATGCCTGCCATCAAGAAGAACAATTGAAAGCAGCACCAAGAAATTCAAAGTATCTAAATTCATATTAAATTTAGAATACGCTGGAACATTTTCTGTCGGTGGTTTTCAAGTATTTGATGTGATAGCTAATGACAAGAGTAAAACGTATTTTTAGCCGTTGGCAAAGATTTTTATTCAACTAGAATTAAAACCTATAACATGAGGACTACCTCATATTAGAGGTTGATGGAAGGGGAAGTCATAACGACCCATCCACCCAACCGCAAGCTTACAAGTGAAGTTGACAGTGAGAAAACTTGAAGAATAGCTACTCTTCAAAATAATTAAGCTTGACGCATTGCGAGGGATCTGAAGTTGAAGTTGAATAAGCCTTAAAAAAAAGGATCCTAACATATTCAACACATTAAACTCCTTGCTAGATTCAACGTCAGTAGTCAAAAAAACAGTGGCCATCAGGGTAAAATTGCAGCACATTCATTGTTTCAAAGGATCTGAAGTTGAGCAAGCCTAGAAATGATGCCATTATGTAACCCAGAAATTGCTTGATATAGTGAAATATCCACATGTTATATCCCATCTGTTGCTATTTACTTTTCCAACATTCTTGAAAAATAATTTGAAGTATACATGTTATTTCCCATACTATAAGGTTTACTTCTGATAAAAGTAATATAGCCGATGACTTTAATTCAATTAAAAGTTAATTTATAAACAGATCTTCAAGGCTTCCTAAAAGAATAAATTTAATGACCTAATATTCTCATAAAAGATTTAATGACCTAATATTCCCATACTCCTTTGAATTTTTGAACTATGCCACCCATGGAGAGGAGTGTATCGAGAGCTTATGAGGCCCATCCTCTCCCAATAGCCATAAAATATACAATGAGGAAAATTTATTCGAGGAAAATGGTAAGTTATGTCATAAATTATTTCTATTTTGCATGGTCCAATTAATATTATTGATCCCCAAATTTCTACAATAAATTTGGTAGGTAGCTAGTATAGTATAGTTCCCTATCCACGAGTCTGTCGTTGTACTGGAATACAAATACCTTAAATAAACAGGTAGAAGTATAAAGAAAGTGTAAGTCAAATTAAGATTTCGTTATACTCAGGAGGAAGAACTGGTAATAGACAAAAAACCATTCATTCTTGTTCTACATTTGTTCGAACAAAATGTTTAACTAATTCCATGCATCTAACCAAAAAATCCTTTCTTCTTTGAATTTTTCTATCTTCCCATTCATTCCCGGTGGACCCTTCATCTCTCCTCTTATAGATAGGACTAATAAAGAACAGAGTCACTTAAGAAGAAGAGATGTTCAGTTAAGTTCAGATTCCCGGTGGACCCTTCATCTCTCCTCTTATAGGTATGAACTGGGTAAATGGAAATGGAAAAGAGATGTTTCCAATTCCTCAAAAGACGAAGCTTTTTCTACATCCATATGATCTACTAAAGTAGATCGGTATTGCCCATATAATGAAAGTAGATCTTGGTCCATGGAGTCCCAAGAAGGTAGGAACTCCGACCTGTCCGATGCTTCTTTGGCCAAATACGAGATACAAGTGGGACCCGCACTATGAGCAAGCTCTGCGAAAAAATGCTTCTTTTTTCCGGTTCTTGGTCGAAATGAGCCGGGAAACCATGGATTTTTTAGTTTTCGTCATTGGTTACTGGTCGAGCCACTGGAATGGAATGAGATAGGAATCTCTGGAGATCTTTCCTCTCCGCTTACTCGTAACAGGGTTTCCCTCTGTAGAATACTTCTTCCTTTTGGGGTCATTGTCCTATTTTTTCCTCTATCTTCATTTTTTTTATGCAATCGCCTTCGCTTTTCCTTGATTCTTTGTTTGTTGATTCCTCTTCTCCACGTTACTTTTTCGGGCATAGCAACAATGAGACCGCTGATCATATAAAAATATATGCGGAACCTTTATCGTTTGGGTGACTCACCAACCGACCCAGCAGTGATCGATGACAGAATGGTACGAACAACTCAAAGTCATTGGATTTTTTAGTTCTCCATTGAACCACCAAAGGCCTTAGCATATGTTCCATCATGAGTGTGCACCTCCTTCCGCGGCAGGAGCCGGCCTCCCACTCTCTTATGCAGCATTTATTTATTAGCTTAGCGGGTGGATCGTGCAATAAGCCTCTCTCGACCCTCCCTTTCTCATACGTATTTATGAAAGTTCCTTTCGAGATACAGTCCATCATAAACTCAGTCAGATCTTCTTGTTTGCTCGCTTTGTTCCTTTAACAGATTTGATCGGCTTTTCGTGCCTGCAGCCCACTTCCATTCTACCTTTAATCCTCTTCAAAAAGTTGTAAACACTACGGCCGAACTCCGTTTGCTGGATCCGGCTTTCTTTGGCTAAAAAGAGGTGTGTGTGGCCGTCGTATTTGCCCGCCCCCTTCTTCATTTATCCATTTAGGTCAGAATGGATCCAGGGAACCTGGCTCAGGAACAGCCCAGACTAATCACAGTAAGAGAGTCCAATCTCTGAAATAGAGCATTTTCTCTCCATAGTAGTAATAGTAGTAGAAGGCTTAGTATCTGACTTGATTCAATAGAGTCAGAACACACAGTAGATCCAGATTCCACACGCTGCTGTGGGCTGGGGAGAGAGCTGCTCTGCGAAGCTGAGCGTTCAGTGTGATTATGGAGGAACTTGAGTACTCGCCCCAAAACGAACTTCATAGGTACTTAATTAAAGGGGGAGCGGTGGGCCTTAAAAAAGGTGTGAGGGAGTGATGGGCAACCTTAGTCTATATGTTGCTCGTGAGCCGCCAAGTACCAGTCTCGCAACAGTACTGGCGTTAAAGGATCGGTCCTTCACTTGCTTCTAGTTCGCGAGTCGAACTCGCTCTCTTGCCACGCCTTTCACTCACTCGCTTGAGTCGGATTCCATCTTGGAGGATCGTTCGTTCTTCACTCTCTTGCTATTACCCGCAGGGAGCAAAGCAACCGACGGACTGTGCATATTATCATATAGAAACAAACGAAGCGTTGCGACTCATACTACCGAAGTCGCTAACCAGCAGGCAATAGAGTCAGCTTACGGGGTGGGGTGCAAGCAAGCTTAGGGAATCACATAGAGTTGCCCCTACCTGCCGGCGCGCAGATAGATAGGGCGGGCGAAGCGCGAAGGGATGGATGTTTGAGCGGTTGAAAGAGTCGGCCTTGAAAACCGAAATATTGATAGGAATACCGGGGGTTTGAATCCCTCTCCATCCGCGAGGTCATAAGTTCTCTCTTGCGTTATCTATAGATAAGAACGAATCGGATCGACTCGACTGATACGATGGATGGAATGGGTAGACGATAGCCTTGTGCAGGTGCTTTCAAGACTCTTTGGTGTCTAGGAGCTTTAGACGCGGGGGGGTGCTTTGTTGGGTGTGGAGTGAGTGGTAGCAGTTTAGTAAGGGCATGACTTATGGCAGGGAGTAACCCGATGGCTCTTGTTGAGTCGACTGTGAACGCATGGTTGGCTCTTAAAAAGAATCGCTCTTCCTCATCTTTTGCCCTTATCTTCCTCATTCCTTCCTTGATCCTTGATTGAATGATGACTTATCCCTCTTCTTTCTTAGACTCCTCCATATGTACTGTACTTAATTTCTAATTAGTAGAGTAGTTCGATCAACTATCCTTTTTTGAAGCGGATAGTTCACAGTGCTTATTCTAACCGAACAACTAAGAAAATGTTTTTACTCCATTTTCATTACGAAGATGTATCACGCCAAGATCTATTGCTCAAACCGAAACATGCCAACGTTATGGAAGTTCCAGGATTGTGTGAAATAAGATTAGTACCAAACTCTTCTTTCAGAATAAAAAATGGAAAATTGGCTAAGGAGATTCCGTGCAGTCAGAGATTCATACAGCCTAAAAGGGGTCCCTTTTTCAAAGCGGGAAAGTCGTTTCGATCAAATTTTGGGGCCGAAAAAGACACTGTATATGTCAGTGACTTTGCACGACAAAGCACTCTCCGAGGGCATGGAATGTCACATTTTTTGGTCAGAATCTCGACAGTAATGTCTCTGTTAGATTCTCTGGTCGAAATACGGGAAAACCCCATTCAATTCTCGATGGAAATGGAGTTTTGCGAATTCTCACCAGAACTGGGAGATCATTTCAAGATCTTCGAGCATATTCGAGGGTTCAATGTGACTATTGTCACTTCGGCCAAGACAAAAGATGAGACTTTACCACCGTGGAGCGGCTTTTTACAAAAAGATGAGGGGGAAAGTCAGTAAGATGCCGGAGAAGCTAAATATACGAGATCACAAACATAGATTGCTCGCGGCTAAATATGAATTGAGACGAAAGCTTTATTTACAATAGCTGTTGTAAAGATCCCGATCTTCCGTTTTATATGCGGGACAAACATCATTAGAAGTTGTCCAAGTTGCCAAGAAAGAGTTCCTTTGCACGAGTAAGAAACCGACGTATTTCCATAGGTCTTCCTCGTTCCATAGTTGAGTTCTTTCGCATTTCTCCTATCGTCGTGGATTAGCATCTCTAGGTTCTTATTAGGGCATAAAGAAATCGTCTTGGTAGCAACCACCAAACCCAATAAAACAAAGGTCGCAGCTGGTCCACAAGCAAGGGTTGTAGGTCCATTACCGTCAGGCTCCGGACCAAAAGGAAAGATCTAATGGACTCCGATCGGAGATGCTAACGTGACGGGAATCGAAGTGGAGGAACTCTCTACTGCACCTGTCTCCCCAGACATAGACTACGTACAAGGAACTTGGAAAGATAGAAGATCACCGCGTGAAACAACATATTAACTGACGAATGTCACTTCCGAGGGATCTAAAACTATTCTTAAATTCGTAAGTTGTTCATGTTCACGCCGGAGTGTGGAGGTTGTTGACACCATTGAAGTCAGAGTCTGGGTGTGGGCCAGCAACAAAATAGGGCCTTCCGAATGATAAAGACAAAAAAGTTATTCGTTTGGTTGGTAGAACCAATGCCAATATAATATTGATTGTCTCTCGTCCAAGAAGAGTTTCCGAGAGTGATTTTCTTAAATTCTCTCCTTTCCAAGGCTCCACTAGGCAGGCAAAAAGAGTAATAGGACAACAAGCAAAAAGTGTTGCTTTCATTTGAGTTCTTTCTTTGTTTTGAAATCGACGTTCAAGGGGTAGGTAGCGCAAGCAAAACGTTTAAGTGAAAGGAGTTCCTTACTTATCTTTCATAGGTTTCTTAATGAAAAGTTTAAGCCTTAAGAAACCGACAGTTTGCTCCGAATGAGTTCGTCGAGAATCAACCAACTGACAAATAAGTAGCCCTGGTGGTTCACTGCCTCCCTCTCGCCAAAATGAAATGAGATGAATCTTCTCATGCAGTTTTTTGATGGATTCAGGGCGCAGCGAGGCCAAATTCCATCAAGTTCGGGGTAAATAAGGGGGAACAGGAGTTGTCACGATAGAAAAGAGAAATGACTATAAAGAACCAACGATTCTCTCTTCTTAAACAACCTATAGCCTCTACACTTAACCAGCGTTTGATAGATCATCCAACCCCGAGCAATCTTAGTTATTGGTGGGGGTTCGGTCCGTTAGCTGGTATTTGTTTAGTCATTCAGATAGTGACTGGCGTTTTTTTAGCTACGCATCACACACCTCATGTGGATCTAGCTTTCAACAGTGTAGAACACGTTATGAGAGATGTTGAAGGGGGCTGGTTGCTCCATTATATGCATGCTAATGGGGCAAGTATGTTTCTCATTGTGGTTTACCTTCATATTTTTCGTGGTCTATATTATGCGAGTTATAGCAGTCCTAGGGAATTTGTTCGGTGTCTCGGAGTTGTCATATTCCTATTAATGATTGTGACAGCTTTTATAGGATACGTACCACCTTGGGGTCAGATGAGCTTTTGGGGAGCAACAGTAATTACAAGCTTAGCTAGCGCCATACCTTTAGTAGGAGATACCAGAGTGACTTGGCTTTGGGGTGGTTTTTCCGTGGACAATGCCACCTTAAATCGTTTTTTTAGTTTCCATTATTTACTCCCCTTTATTTTAGTAGGCGCCAGTCTTCTTCATCTGGCCGCATTGCATCAATATGGATCAAATAATCCATTGGGTGTACATTCAGAGATGGATAAAATAGCTTCTTACCCTTATTTTTATGTAAAGGATTTGGTAGGTCGGGTAGCTTCTGCTATCTTTTTTTCCATTTGGATTTTTTAAGCTCCTAATGTTTTGGGGCATCCCGACAATTATATACCTGCTAATCCGATGCCCACCCCGCCTCATATTGTGCCGGAATGGTATTTTCTACCGATCCATGCCATTCTTCGCAGTATACCTGACAAATCGGGAGGTGTAGCCGCAATAGCACCAGTTTCTATATGTCTGTTGGCTTTACCTTTTTTTAAAAGTTTGTATGTGCGTAGTTCAAGTTTTCGCCCGATTCATCAAGGAATTTTTTGGTTGCTTTTGGCGGATCGCTTACTATTAGGTTGGATCGGATGTCAACCTGTGGAGGCACCTTTTGTGACTATTGGACAAATTCCTCCTTTAGTTTTCTTCTTGTTCTTTGCCATAACGCCTATTCCGGGACGAGTTGGAAGAGGAATTCCAAATTCTTACATGGATGAGACTGATAAATTTTTACACAAATTTGACGAGTGAGTATTACACCAAGACAAGCAGATGAGTTTCCGTTTGATATAGCTTAGATAAGGAAAAGAGACTCTACTATAGGGTAGGACTAAACTTGAAAATCCGGGGAGCCGACCACGTCAGCGTACTAGGTAGTTAGAATCTTCCTCTGCCTACTAACTGGGACACGTGGCATCAGGTCGTCCATCCATTTAAATTGAAAACCTCGGACTAGTACTTTGGCCAACACCTGCCTTCGTACATCAGCTGACATCACCAATAGTTCTCCCCGAGGTACCACCGCACGAGTCAACCGAGGATCTCATTGATTGAATCAACTACTGTGTGTGTCAAATCTCCTGGCCGGGCGGGAAGCCAAAAAGAGATCCAAAGAAAGTTCTCCGAACAAGCGAGGCTTCAGAGAGAGGGGGCAAGGGAGGGGTGGAAGAGTGATGTGGACGGACCGAGGCGCTTGCGACCATGATCCGTCCGTTGCGTAACACCTTCCAGTGGGGCGGTGCGTGTCGAAATCCCGGCCGTACGGCAGGTGATCGGCGCGGGCGAGCGTCCCCAGGTAGTTGTTGGTGTCGCAGTCCACCGTCGAGTCCCAACACGAAGAGAACCGGGACCTGCGGAGAGGACGCCGCCTTATACGGTTACACCGGGGCTCCGGCCCCGACGTCCTCCACGGGGATCTCGCCGTCGATCAGGAAGTGGGCGGTGTCGAGATCGTCACGCTCTTGAAGGGACGGGGAGAAGAAGATGGGGAATAAGAGGGAAAGATTTGTGAAGTTCCAACATTACGGTTAACTATTATACGTTATATGTTTAAAAGTTCAATTGTTGGTAACATGTAGAATTATATATAAGATGAATTTATGATGCATTACAATCCTCTCTCTAACACAAACACACACAGAGCAAAGATCTCTGAACTTAATAGGTGTATAGTCTATAGTAAGATGACGTGCCTGCGACCCTCACACTAGAGACTGTAGCCTTGCTCCTTGAGGGATTCAATGAAATCATCAAACATCTCTTCTATCCCTTTGAACTTGAAGCCCATCTTTCTCAGCTTAGACGTATTGAACTTTTACTAAGGCCTCTCACAAATTTAAAAGAACCTTCGGAAATGGAAAAATCTTTTGCGCAAGAGGTTGAACAAGTGAGGAACAGGTTGAAGAAAAGCCAAGTGAAGAAGCACCAGTTTTAGAAGATCCAAGTGAGGAACCGAATGAAGAACCAAGTGAGGAGGATCCATGACATCAGAAGAGTCTGCTTGTACGCCATCTTGTGATTGTGACAACGATGAAAAACCCAATTCCGGATCAGTTTAAACCAACTCCGCTGAGAAGGTCAATGGACACAGGGGAAGTCCTTTTCTATTCGAGAAAAAAGCGCAAGCAGGAGCAGCCCTCAAAGCCGGAATATCATTCTGGGCTTCCCAGTAGTGATCTTGGAGATTAGTCCAGGATATCCAAGTTCGTTTAAAAAGATAAGACCGAACGTCTTCGCTCCCGCTTAATTCAATAGGCCACATTTTGTCCATATCTTGCTTCGCACGCAGAAAAGCTCCATCCCTGAGTTGACTCATTTCGCTTCTTCTTCTATCTATATGGGGCTGGCTCATTCCGTGCTGGAGCACTGCATATCGCAGCTCTCAGAGAGGACTCAACCTATTTTACCGATGACTAGGCTTAACACAAGACCAATGAAGAGGAATATTTTACCTAAATAAGAAAGTGGATGAACAATTACTATCACTAACCAGTCTTAGCTTTCATACTCTCGATAGCTAAGAAGAGAATCATTAACTGCCTCTTAGAATCATTAGCGTTGTCGCTAAGCCTCCCTTCAAGAACTATGGTAGTAGAGAAGCGGTACGAAGTTGTTGGGTCATAAAGAACGCTAGACGTTAGAAGTAAGCTATTGAGCGAAGTTTAGCCCGACTAAGGCTTAGCTCATCAAGTCGTTACTCTCGGGTCCCTTGCTTTAAGATGGATGAGGGGGCCCTTTCGCTACACTAGCCTCCCGTCCCCGACGAGAAGTGCCAAGGTCGTGTCGAAGTGGCATCGTAACATAAGATCACGCCTGCTTTTAGCTCTGTTGATCTCATCTTTTTTGAAAGCAAAGATGTAAAATTGCGGTGTACACGTATCTCCTCGATTGAGCTAGTCACTGGCTATAGGGCGCATAAGTCCCAACCCCAATAGGTTGTTTAGTTGATAAGGACTATACCAAGCGACCGATCACTTAAACTTACTTGATAGGGGGGGGCAAGACGCGCTCTTTGGACTGGCTAGCAGCACTAGCGACAACGAGCGTCACTTTGTTTGAAAGTAAGACTAAAGATGAAAAGGAATAAAAAGGAGAGGGGACTGGGTGAGAACCATATGGAATATTGGTTATTCCATATTTAGATCTTGAAACCGAAGGTTTCAAGATCTGTGAACAACCCTAAATATCCATTAGAAAAAAGAGATGAATAGATAGGGCTTAGCCGATAGCTGAGCTGGGTACGATGATGGGCGAGAGAGGGTTCCTTCGGGATGGATCGGGGAAAGTGACCTCCGTCTCAGCCCACGACTTCCCTCCTTTCGCGTAGTTCAGGTGACTCCGTTCCTTTTTTTTCCTAGAATGAACCGACCACGACGAATCCAATCCGCCTGCCATCCTTTATTTCTTTCTCATTGGACCGCTGCCTGGGACACCCCTATAAATTCAATTATTAAAAGGCCCCGGTTCGGAAAGAAACCTTACAGGTTGGTCTGGTTGTCCCCCCGGAGGTGGCCGGGCGGGCCTCGGTTCAATCTTGTCGCCGATCCCACATAGACATGGATCAATACAATATAAGGGTAAGGCGCTTGCGTGTTGTTAAAACAAAACTCTCAGTGCACTTCGGAGCACGGTCTTCTGTTAGGTCCTTTACGGACGACGAAAACATCTTGGCTATGCTCTACCGTCTGCCTCCGGCGGTTCTTTCCTTTTGGCTCGGCGGAGCTGAGCTAGGTTCCACTCTGTTGGAAATGCATAGGAAGCAGCAAACCGAGGCCCTGCGTGCGCCGTACCACCTACGAATAATAGGTACACCCACCTCAGGCAGAGTTAATGACCCGTGTAATAGGCGACCATTTCGCGCGGTTCGGGGGGCACTTGAGTAAGCCGCCGGCGCCCGGCTGCGTCTTGACCCATATCCCATTTTTGGGCCAATTCCCCCTTCGTACTACCCAAAAATGAGATTCTTGCCGAATCCGAGTTTGCTGCTCCAACCATTACAAAACTAATACCTATTCTGTTTAGTACTTCAGGTGCTTCTGTAGCGTATAATGTAAATCCTGTAGCGGATCAATTCCAACGAGTCTTTCAAACAAATACATTTTGTAATCGACTCTATTGCTTCTTCAATAAACGCTGGTTCTTCGATCAAGTTTTTAATGACTTTATAATCAGATCGTTCCTGCGTTTCGGATATTCAGTCTCATTCGAAGCTTTAGACAAGGGTGCTATTGAGATATTGGGCCCTTATGGTATCTCGTACACATTCCGACGATTGGCCGAGCGAATAAGTCAACTTCAAAGTGGATCTGTTGTGCGAAGAGTGCGTTATGATCCGTGGCCGCCTGCCTGGTTGGTGGGGGCGGCTCCTCCGTTGTGGGTAAACGGGAAACCAGACTCTACGAACCCGAGGAAAGGCTGCACACAGCTTTTGTAGGGGCGTTAAGACCGGAGCTTTTTGTAGTGCTAGCAGGAATGCAAGTGAATGAATCCCATCCCCTAGCAAGCTTTAAAGTAAGCGAGGGAACGTTATTTCAGTAGGGCGCGCTACGGCAACACAGTACTGTAGGGGTGGGGGCTTGCAGTCTACTTCGCGAGCCTTCACTGCCCCGTTCTGTAACTTCCCTTCTTTCGTCCGTCCACGAGGCAGTAAAAAGAAAGAGAAAGGAGCGGCTATCTAGCAGGAGTCGTGGCGGTTGTATGCCACGAGGTCCCTATAGACAAGGGGACAAGTGAATCATCGCTTTTGGGCGCAGGCAACCCTCTACCGTCCATCCCATTGCATTCCATCGTCTCGTATTGTACTGTACCGTATCAGACCAGATACATCTATTGAGAGAAAGATTGATTAACTAATAATCTTCATTTTGGGGATCCCAATTCATTCCGTTATTCCCGTAACTATGGATTGATTGTCCCTACCTAACTACATGGTAGTAGTCTAGGGAGCTCAATTGCTAGAGCACGGGAGAATGAAGAGTAATGATTTCAGCAAGAGCAGCCGGACGGACTTCTATAGTGAGTCTAGTGACTACAAAAGTATTTGATTTCTTAGTAGTTTTGTCATAATGTATGGTATAGCAGCCTTCCCGAGCGAACCTCTGGGATCTCCTGTAAACCCCCATGATGTGATAAAGGGAGGATATTAGGGGAAGCAGTGAGTGGAGATTCCCCTGCAGAGAGCCCTATGAGGGGAGACCCTCACGTCCGGTTCGGAGAGGGGGGGGGAATATCCCGACCCTACTATCATTATGCCTTTGCAATGTTACTTGGTTCAACTCCATTTGTGACCTTTTTTCGTATGTGGGATTCTCTATCTTCTTGGGTAGATAATCGATCGTCTTTCATTTTTATAGTGAGTAGTTTTTTTAATAATAAGTCAAGTCAAGAATAATAATCGAACTGGAGGAGCAAGCGGAGGCTTGAAAGCCGGAGCGCGCTAGCGCGCTTTCCGGTTTCTCGCTTGGTAAGCAAGAAACCCGTTAGGTAGGCGCCCAGTTCTTTCTCTTCTTTCTTCTTGAGTTTAGTGACTGTTCATAAAAATTATTATTTGATACCTTGTGTTAAGTAACCTTGGTGAATTAGGTTAAGGTGCAGAAACGGAAAGAGAGGGATTCGAACCCTCGGTAAATAAAAGCCTACATAGCACTTCCAAGCTACAACCAATCTATTCTAATGGAAATGTCAAACTTTTCCTAAAATTTTCAAATAAAAATATTCCTTAAATTCTTAAATTAAAAGAAGAAAAAACTTTCATTCTTGTTAAGGAAACGGGGGAGATCCATTAATATTTTTTAAAACGACGATCTTATATTATATATAAATATTATGTTATATATACCGGATAAGACCAATGACTTAACTTAGAATAAATCAACCGAAGGATCTATATTTTATACTATAGTTACATTTGGACTAAGGGTCTATATGAATAAAAAATGCTTTTCCAATCCCAGAGTTCTCAACGGCAACTCCTCTAATTACCTACCCCATAGATCCATTTATTACAAATGGATGAATTGTTTCATAAGTTTTTATATTTCGACTTTATAGTGTGTGTATACACGTTATACAAACAAACAATAATGGTTAATTTTTTAATATATTTTTTTGGTTCAAGATAGAAAGAAAAAAAATTATGGAAATAAATTAGTGAAGGTGAATTTCAGTTTGGAGATAGACCAATGCCTTCTGTCGTGTATCCTCGAGCGGCCAAGCGACCAACAACATCTCAAGTGAAGGAGGCCTCTCTCAAAAGTTCGGTTAGCCCTCACTATCGATCGTGACTCCCGGCTGTCGTCCTCACTACGATCGCCTGCTTCCCGCAGCTCTTAAATTAACCAAAACAGAGCTCCTCAACAATCAGAAAGAAGGAGGATCGGCATGGGGATAACTTTAAAAGGTTCGCAAAGAGCCGACGCTTTACAAATTGATCCCAAGATCGGATAGTTCAGTGAATCTATCTAGGTCGTCCCTTAGGCAGGCTTCTCAAATGATTCTCATCCGATAGGACTGAAAGGAGTGGTGTTAGATCCGTAGCCACAGAAGCTCTCCAAGAGCTTTAAGCGCAGGCTAGCTTAGCTAAAGATCCTACTTAGAGCTAGGCGAATTCTTTTCGTTGGTGCTCTTCTTCTCTTCTCCCCTTCTTCTGGCTCTCACCCTCGTAGTTCCTTCCCCCAAGTTGGTCTTAGCCATGCGGCAAGGTCCTGCTATTGAGGCTAAGTCAACAGTGGTCATTTTAGGGCAAAGTAGAGGTTCCGAAGGAATTCAAAAGTGGCTGAAAAACCAATTATGAGTAGGCTTGAGATGACGATGATGAGTCTGGAGATTCATCGTTCTTTGTCAGAAAGATGTTCGCTAATGGTAATATTGATCCTACTACTTTAATCTAACTGCATATAAACTTAGTATGCCCCCTCCCTCCAAAAGTCGTGACCGTGCCTATTTTTTTGTTGACCGAGACCAAACTCCAAGGCCCAGAGGGAATTGGCCTTTCTTTCAAGTGAGGGCGGATTCCGGAACTATAACTAAGATGGAAGGCAGGTACACGACCCCGCAGGTCTGGTCCAGGTGATTAAAAGAGGCATTATTCAACTGATATATCACAAGATATATCATAAACGATGTGGTCATGTAAGTGGTAAGCAATCAACGGGAGATACTTCCCACTCTTTCTTCCACAAGATGTGACGTACTTCTATATCAATAACTGTGACGGATTCTTTGACTTCGGAAAGACCGGAGATAGATGAGGGCCAAGTAAAGCTTATTCAATCAACGGGTTTCGTGAGCAAGGTGGCGCGCCTAAGCAAGCATCTAAGTTCGCCAGGAACCTATAACCGGGGGATCAAACCTGGAACAATCAACCAACTTAAGGAACCAAGGTATTGTAAATAAGAAGCATCCGAAGAAGCTCTTTCATCATCAGCATCCGCTTCATAAGAAGGAAAGCCTCGCTTCCCATGTCAAAAAGGTGGGGAAGGTAGCTTCTTTCTATAGGCGACCGGTAGGTAGGCCGTGGGTGCAGAAGGAAAGCCGTAAGGTTAGAGGTTAAAAAAAACTCTTTATCGAAGTGCGTACTAGAAAGCTAGCGCCCTATCTTACCAATTTCTATCTAAGTTCCTCTAAAGAAGGTCTATCCCCTGAAAGCTAAGATCAATTGCTTGAGCTAGATGTAGTCATTTACAGATTATTTCTGACTGACCGGCCTGCCTAAATAAGAAATACGAGTTTGAGCTCGCATGACATATAGTTCGCTCCGGGCTTGTAGAAGGTTGTTTCCAAGTTTTGGGAGGGTCATCTAGAATTTATCATTATGAGGCTGGATCGCCCATTTCAACCTAGAGATTCTCACCCAATCTCGCGCCATATGTACTGCTCCTCTCGGGTAACTTCAGCTCGGTCAAGTCTTTAGTCTCGTTCCTTAAGTGACTCCACGAACAAGCCAATAGCAAGCCATCCAATCTGGAAAGTCAGAATTTCAGATCCCAATCTCGAAAGTGATCAGTTCAGATATGGAAAAGTGACTCTGTTCTTTGTTAGTTCTATCTATAAGAGGAGAGATGAAGGGTCCACGGGGAATGAATGGGAAGGTAAAAAAATTCGAAGAAGAAAGGATTTTTTGGTTAGACGCATGGAATTAGCTAAACATTTTATTCGAACAAATGTAGAACCAGAATGGATGGTTTTGTGCCTATTATCAGTTCTTTGTTATTATTTACCAGAATGAATATAGAACCATCCATTCTGGTTCTACATTTGTTCGAATAAAATGTTTAGCTAATTCCATGCGTCTAACCAAAAAATCCTTTCTTCTTCGAATTTTTCTATCTTCACATTCATTCCCGGTGGACCCTTCATCTCTCCTCTTATAGATAGGACTAACAAAGAACAAAGATCCCAATCTCGAAAGTGATAAGTCCCTTCATCAGAAGTGGATGGCCAGTGGCCCAAGGAAACAAAAGAATCAGTTACATTTTTCATATACTCTCCTCTTATAGATGGGACTAGCAAAGAACAGAGTTCTTTTTGTATCACTTCGCCCCCTTTTCTTGGTTGATTTCTTTTTTTTTATGGGATTTTTTAATGGAATAGATTTTTTTAAGCAACAGGAAAACAAGAATACTCTATGTTCGAGTTATATCATTTCGTAATCATTATTGTTTCAGCTGAAAATATACGGGAATCTATGATGATCATATCTCGAATTCTCTATGTTGATGTGTGATGTCAACATGAGTCCTTACGAAATATTCATTAGTCGAGAAAAGTTATAAAACATGGCGGTCAAGGTGTTCTGAAGCGCATGGCGGAGAAGGTTTTACATATTCTTGCGGTTAGTAAGAGTTATAAAACACAGCAGTCAAGGTGTTCTGAAGCGCATGGCGGAGAAGGTGATGTTAAAGTATAATGAACTTAGAGATATTATACGTGATAAATATTTCTCCATTATTCCTTGGTTTTATCCCCATGTAAGGATTCTTCAAATCTGGTATGCTATTGTGTGTTTCTCTAGCCAGTATTATATTGTGCATTGCTTATCCTTCGGTGGTAGTTATTTATTGTATGTAGAGATAAAAGTGTCTGTAGGACTCGTACCCTAGAATTTTCAACACTTTTCAAACTTGTCGCTTCATAAGCATCTGATAGGTCACATTTAAGAGTATACTTTCATCTTGAGCAAATCCCTTTGACTGTCTTTATGGGTCGACGAGTCAGACTTAGAAGAAGCAGTCATTACATATTCCCACAAAGACATGCTGCTAAGGCTTAAGATGTGAGTCTGCCTCTTGAGAAAATCCCCTTGACTAAGCCTTTATACATGAATGTCTTTTAGTGTCAAAACAGGAACACTTTTCTGTTCACAAGTCAGCCTTTTAAGAAGCAGTCATAACATCTTCACACAAAGACAAACTACCAAGGCTTACCCACAGAGAACATAGTCTTGACAAGAGCCAAACTCATGTCTTCACTTCATGTTTATTTTTATCTATAGGTGCACGGAATTCTTGTTTAGATATAGTATTAGAGAAAAGTGTCGACTCCAAATTCAGAGGACATTTATTTTTCATATGTGATAAAAAAAATTGTGTCTAATATTAACGAATGATGATTCAAACTCATCCTCGGTTCAAAGAAATGTTCCTCCTGACGCTGATCTTTTAGGCAATCCGACTGATTGAAAACCCTACGTTTAAGTCTTTAAATAGTGAATATGGTTCTTCTCAATACCATTCAGGAACTGATGGTTCTTCTCAATTTCGATTGATGGGAGGCTTCTTGACCATTTAAATGTCGGTCGCTCTACAACTCTTTCCTGTTTTTACAGCTTCTTCACTAGTTAGCTCAGAGAAATTGACGGGCGATGGGCGTCAAATGACATGCTCAAAGCTCAAAAGCACTCATTATTTCAGAAACATTACTAGGAGTAGGGCCTGAGACCCATCCGATCATTATTTCACGCTACAACTGTTCATGCCTTCTTCTTCCCGCCCAGCTCTACTGCAGCCGTGGCGTTGACAACCCTAGCTGGAGGTCCCGAAGTTACATTATTGAGGACTGTTTTAGGGAACCCGGCGGTCGGGATGTTTGTGCGGGTGGACCAGAGCGGACGACCGTAGATGACAACGTTGCGGTCGGGTTGGATGACGAGGACGTAGTTGCCACGGCCAATGTTGGTTCTGCTTGACCACAGAGCTACGCCGCTGCCGCTGTATACCACAAAGCTACCGTCGTTCTTCAGGGTTGCCCGGCAGTTTGTGCCCTTGCGGAAGGTTCCGGAGGACCATACGGCTGCGCCGCTATACAGCACGAGATTGCAGTCTCCCTGCATAGTTAAAACGTACCTTCCCTCAGTCAATGATTGGCCAGAAAATAGGCTCTGGCCAGAGAAGAGGATGTTCTTGGCTGTGCAAGTGGAGCTAAGGAGACAAAAGAGGAAAGCCGAAAGGAGAAGAGGGAAGTATTTTTCTGCCATTTGCACCAGTCCTACGATATTACCTAGGGCCTAAGTAAGTGTTTCGGTCCAGGTTCCTCCTCACCAAAAGCTTCTATTTATAGAACTGGATTGAACGATCATACCTTCAGAGAGCTTATCGATAGCTGTTGTTTGGGTACATCGTTTGGCCAGATACATTCACTAGATCTAGTAATTTTTTAAAGTCACTAGATCTAGTAGTTTTCAATGTCACTAGATCTAGTAATATTTTAAAGTTACTAGATCAGTGAACTATGTAGTTTGAGGCGCGCGGCCGTCGGGTGGGGAGGGGAGGGGGGGGTGGTCTCCTAGCATTTATATGAAAGCTTCAAATCCGCATATAGCTCCTCGTAAGTCCGACCTCCCAAATTACCCCATGGGCTGTGTGGATATCATATTGTGAGGATCAGTACAATACGTGCATGGGTTGTGCGGAGGATCATTTAAGAAATCAGCAGATGATTCTTCAGAAATGCTACCTCGCAAATTGCCACATGGTTGTGTGGAGGCCATGTTGGCACCTTGGATTCCGGGGAATATGCTGCAAAATATTCTTACTTTCGTCCAGGTACACTTCGCATTCTCGTTGACAAGCTCTATCCAAACGTTTTCTGCCGTCACGCTTGAGGCGAGAAGAATCTTTGCGTCGTGTGAGAAAGCAATCCACCAGCATTCTCGTCCTTCACCTCTCTTTCTTGTTCTGCAAGTCAAGCCGAGTAAGTCGCTCTGGATAAGGAAGAGGAAGCTACTAATCGTTTCCTCGCGTGAGAGTATTTGGAGACTATCTTCATCCGCTCCACCTTTCTTCACACCTGAGATTTCACAAGTAGGAATTCCGAGAATTAAGGTTGTGACTACGTGCGGGCCGGCATTACTGGTCATTGTAGATATGTTCTCATTTCTAACGTGCAATGAGATCGTGCTTATTGATCTGGTGTTACATGGCCCATTAGTCTAGAAAAATCGAACTTAGCTTCGCGAAGAGGTTCTACGATCCTCTGATTCATGGTGTAACTCTTTAATTCCTTCTTTACTGATGTAATCCGCTCTTATCGTTAAAATACTTATATAGAGAAAAAATATCAATCCATGTTCGCAAGTCGATAAAAGTAAAGCAATTTCCACATATCAAGGCTCTCCAACAATAGACACGATGGTCAAAACAGAAATAATTCTACAATGATCCTCTAAGATCTTTTTCCCTGATCCATTCAAGTTTGTAGCCACTCCTCACAGGTAGAATTTCAGAGGAGAATGAAGTGGGAAAGTAAGATCATGCAGTTATGAGGCTTATTATCCCTTTCCAGCATATGCAGTTTCAAAAGTCTACAGATAGAGAAAGATGAGATAGTCTATACATATAAATATAACAAATAATATATATTTCTCACTAGAGTATCATCCCTTCTGGTAATTCTAACTTTGGAAGAGAAATCCAGGATTTCAATCCCCCTGTATCAAAGATGTGCAACAATTTGAATGCATAACCCAATCTTGAGCGAAATATCTTTGTCTTGATCTTTACGGGTGAAGAAAAATTACGTACATTAAGTTCAATCTGCTGCATTTCGAGACATAAATATTACAATGTAAACATTTAATTTTACCAAGAACATGAATCATTCTTTATACTAATACAAAGTCAACCATAATGTGCCATCATCAAGTACTACCTTCATTGAAGGATAGTTCACACACCCCTGCCGCTTGAAGAATAAGATTTGCCCATTTAGTTTTCTTCACACCATTTCTCTTAAATTGGGGTAAGAATCGCATGGTTTTTCCTTTCATTACGCAAACTAAGTCAACCTTTTCCATAATTCCTAATTATTCTTACCTATTTAATGACACTATGTATAATATGAAATTATCTTATATATTCTGTTAAATAATAAAAAGATTGAGATTAGGGTCATAAGAAGCCATCAGGTCTAAAAGAGAGGTTTAGGAAAAGGCCTAATACACGTCATTTACGCCTCCCATTTGACTGCACTCTCCCATCATTCTCATCCTCCCTTTCTTAGTTCACTCTTTTCATTTCCACATTCTCCATTTTTATTCTTATCTCTACAATTCATCTCATCCAATCGCATAGCATGCACGCCAGGAGTTCAGAGCAAAGCATCGCGTCCAATATATTTGCTGTCCACACGTGGATTTTTGAATGGTGACAATATGAGTTCTATAGATCATCAAGCCCTAGGTTGAGCAACTCATGTTGTTAAATCCCTTTCAAGTTAGGGACTGCATTGTCTTAAGGAGGAAATCATATTCTCAAGTTAATGTTTTAATTAAGAAAGCTAACATCAATGGTAGGGACATTTTCTTGATGTGGTGACTCTTGGTGTTGTTCCAATCTTGATCTGAATAGTAAAATTTTATTTTCTGGCTATAGTTTCAGGTGAAAGGATGAAGGCTTAGTAGTTTGATGGAGAACAATGGACATGACAGTAATAAATGGTTTTGAAGAGACAAGGAAAACATATATGTAATTATATAGGGTAAATATATCTTCCTATGAGTTAAAGCAATTTATAATGTAATGGAAAAAAATAATTTGACTCATTCATAATACAAAATGGGTATTCAATGTCTGTAGGATTGTTTCATTTATCCAAAGGTTCAATTGAGAGGCGATTTATATAAATGTATATATATTTATATGTTAATTGTCATGTGTCCACCACATGTTGATCAATACTAAGAATGTGGAAGAAATGTATTTGTTATGGGCAAAGTTAAATGAAGGTTTTTGAGATGTAGGAACTCATTACTAGGTGTTACGAATGAATCATTAGAAAGAAAATAAACCAAGGTATTGTTACGAAGTGAGAGTCCCTTCCTTGTACAATAGAAGCAAATGTCATGATAATGATTCTGGTGTTTACAAATAAAATGAAAACAAACTTATTATGATAATTTATATGAGTAATAGTGGAGCTCAATAATCTCCAAATAAAGATCTAAATCTGTCTAATTGTGTATGTCACAGAAATATATATTTTCATGTCTCAGTTGAAGAAATAAAAATGTCAAAACATATTGACATCAATCAAGTTGAAAGAAATCGAAATGGAAGAAGTTTTAAGTAAATAAAAGAAAGTGTGTAAACCTATGTCCGAATCTATTATGAAAGCTTGTCCCCCCACTTTGCAAGTGTGTTGGCCCACCTGAAGAAAGACTAGTGCTGACCCACCCACTAAGCAAGTGTGCCAATCTATTTTTTGTCAGAAGAGAAAGAAAGATGAACTACCAAGTAGGACATCACACCTAGACAGTGAAAATTTGTCTGGACAAGTGATATGTACCAAAAGTTGAAATCAAGTAACATGTGACAATCATTCAGCAGAAGATCGATGTGAGAAAAGTTCAAATCAAGATGAAAGGTGGCATCACATAATAATGTGGTCAAGTCAAAATGTTTAAGTTGTAGTCTGACCATTCAAGGTGACATGTGGCAAAAGATCAATGCGCACATGCCACAAATGCTAAGGTCACTAAGAGTACAGCATATGTACTTTAAAGAAAAATTACATAAGGACAGAATCTCCAACATGGACAGTAAGACTAACAAATGGTTGAAGAATCTGTGACAAGCAAATTGATTGATGGCAGCTTTATCTAATGAGGACAATGAATTTAGACACATTAGATTATGCAGCCCATTGGGAGCCTAACTTAAGTGAACTTGTATCCCCAATAAGTTTGAAGGCATCAATTGGCCCAATTCTACCTCAAATTGGCCCAAATGACAAATAGGGCCTTATAAAAACACATCTTAAATGCGTCCAGATTTATTTTTTCACTCCTTTTCAGTCATTTTGAAATTTATTAATAACCCCAAATTCAAATTTTACACACCCGATACCCTAACCCCTTATTTTTAGGAGTGTCTAAACTAATTTTCCTCCTATTTAAAGACCACCCCTTGTAGTCCAAGATGACTCAATCAGTTCCATAAACTTTCTCTTTTAATATTTATTCGATAGTGGTGACTCCCGGCCCATTAAGGCCCATTATCTATCTCTCTCTTATCATCTTTCTTTCTTCTTCTTTTCTATATAACCTCATGTACTCCTCAACATGGTATCAAAGCCCTACGTATCCCTCCTCGTCATCCTCCTCTCCGGTGCGCCGCCCGTCTCCGGCGCGCCGCTCTCCTCATTGCCGGCCCCTTCCCTCATCGGACGGCTCTTCAGCGTGGCCGTTCTTCCCTCTTCCAGCATCGTCGTCTCTGTCGTCGCTCTCTTTCTCCTTTCGGCGCCGTCCTCCTCGCCTCCGCTTCCGCTCCTCTAGGCCGCCTCCCTCTCCGGTGCGCCGCCCGCCTCCCGGCGCCCCGCTCTCCTCCTCGCCGGCCTCTTCCCTCCTTGGGCGGCTCTTCAGCGTCGCCGCTCTTCCCTCTTCCGGAGTCGTCATCTCTGCCGTCGCTCTCCTTCTCCTTTCGGCGCCGCCCTCCTCACCACCGCTTCCGCCCCTCTCCAGGCCGCCTTGCCGCCGCCGCCTCCCTCTCTGGCGCGCTGCCCTCCTCCGGCGGTTCCCTCCTTCAGCGGCGCCCTTCTGCTCTCGGCGGCGCCAGCCTCCCGACACCCCGAGCATCACCTCCTGACGCCCCGAGCGTCGCCTCCCGACGCCCCGTGCTTCGCCTCCCAACGCCCCAAGTGTCACCTCCCGGCGTCCTCCCGGGCCAGGCTCTCCTCCTCGTCCACCTCCTCTGGCACATTGCCCTCGCCTTCTCCATCGTCCTCGGCCTCCTCTGACCTCGCCGCCGCCTCCCTCTCCGGCGCGCCGCCCTCCTCCGGCGGCGCCCTTCTCCTCTCGGCGGCACTAGCCTCCCGACGCCCAGAGCGTCGCCTCCCGGCGCCCCGTGCGTCGACTCCCGACGCCCCGAGCATCGACTCCCGGCGGCCCGTGCATCGCCTCCCGACGCCCGGAGCGTCGCCTCCCGACGCCTCGTGCGTCCCCTTCAGACACCTCGCGCGTCGCCTTCCGGCGCCCCCGCGCCGCCTCCCGACGCCCGGCCCAGGGCTTATTATCTCTCTCTCTCTTCTCATCTTTCTTTATTCTTCTTTTCTATATAACCTCATGTACTCCTCTTCTTTCTAAGAAGGATTATGAATTCTAGGATTTCCTCTCCTGTGTCAACAATGTTATCTTCTCCTACTGGTGGATTTCAGTGCCCCTTTTTGGATTTAAAGTACGCATTTAATCATAGGGACAAAAGATAAGCCCTTGTGAATTCAATGATCGAAGTTTCATTACTTTCTGAATGCATGACAAGGAATATTCAAGGAAATCATATTTCTTGTGGATTCAAGTGTGTAATTTCTATTCCACATGACTCAAAATGTTTAGAATTTCATCAAATCTTCATTACAACTTTTTCTGCGTCATTAGAAGATCAATGATTCCTGAAAAGATTCCAGAATGGCATATCTCCATTAATGTCTTGGACAAAGTTAGCCAAAATATCAACCTAGACTAATCTAAAGAGGGACCAGTGCATAGCCTAGGTACCTATTGCTATTTTAGACAGATTTTTTGCTATTTTACTTTTCCAAAATTCTTGTAAAATAATTAAAAATATCACCACATTATGCTAGTAAGAGATGCCTCATACTCTAAAATTTTCTTCAGATGAATGTGAATATTTACTTAAATATCTGCAGTACAGTACACCAGTTTGGCTTCCACTAAAAATTAATGTATAAATAAATCTCCAAGGTTTCTTACAAGAATAAAAGTAATGACCTAACGTTCTCATAAAGGATTTATCACCACTCCCTAGAACTTTTATGCAACATGTGTAAAGGAGTGAGTCCAAAGCTTAAAAGGCCCATCCTCCCCCAATAAACAGAAAATATGCAATTTAATTCAAAGAAAATGGTAAGCTTTGTCATAATTTTTTAGCAAGTGGCAAATAATAACACTCTAATTCTTCTCATGAAGTTATATCATTTCACAATCATTATGGTTTCAACAGAAAAATAAACAACTTTTTTGTCGTGATCACAACTCTAATTCTTCATATTTATGTTTGATGTCAACATGAGCCTTCACAACGAAATATTCATTAGTCGAGAAACAGGGTATTATTGCGGTCAGTAAGAGGTATAAAAAGCAGCAGTCAAAGTGCCGTGAAGCTCATGGAGGAGAAGGTGAAGATATAGTATAATAAACATAGGAATCTAATGAGTCAGAGATAAGTCTCTGCTCTCGTTTGGTTTCTTCCCCACGAAAGAGGATTCCTCATGTAATTATGGTGTGCCACTGTATGTTGTTCTAGCCGGTATCATATTATCCATTGCTTATCATTTTGAACTGACTATTTGTTTGCACCTCATGCAGAGATACAAGTGCCTGTGGGACCCGCACCCTATAATTTCCAACGCATTTCAAACTTGTCACATCATCAACAACTGATGGGTCACATTTCAGAGCATCGTTCCACCTTGAGCAAATCGCCTTGACAAAGTCTTCAAACAGAACGTATTTTAATATCAAAATAGGGACATTTTTCAGCCCACGAGTCAGACTTAGAAGCAGCAGTCGTTACATCTTCACACGAAGGCAACCTACCAAGGCATACACAAAGAGAACTTAACATTGACTAGAGGCAAACTCACATCTGAACTTCAGGTTTATTTTTATCTATAGGTTTACAAAATACTTCTGTAGGTGTGGTATTAGAGAAAAGTACCGACTCCATATACACGAAGTTTAATCCTCATATGCCATAAACTTAAAACAGCTCGAAAAAAATCGTTTCCAACATCAATGACTAATAGTTGTACACCGTCAGCGAGAAAATTTAACGTACTCAGATGGAAAACTCTGGATGTCGTCAGAATATCAGGCATCTAGGGGGGGGAGTGAGCGTCCGTATACTGTTAGCCATGGGATTTTTACTTCAAATGGTTTCGGGGGGATTTTAACTCCAAGTGAGTTTGGGCATTCCTATTCTAGTCGTTTATGGCTGACCCTCACTCTACTAACACTGGTAAAGCATCGAAATATGTTGGATTTTGTTGGACAGTCGCCGGTTTTCATCAAACTCCTCATCCGTCGATTCAATGAAATGTTTCTCCTGACACTGATCATATAGGCAATCCGACCGGTTAAGCATTCGATGAAGGGTTATTTGAACGTTCAAATCTTTAAATAATAGGAGCACTAAAGAGCTAGCTGCCACGTAGCTCTAATGGACCCAGCCAATACCATCGAGGAACTGATGGTTCTCCTGAATGTCTATTGGTAGGGGGCTTCTTGACCATCCGAATGTCAGCCGGTCTACCATTCTTCCCTATTTTTACAGCTACTTCACTATTCAAAATGAACAAGAAAAAACGGGGCTAAAATAACACATGGAGATTTGTTCTCATTTCATGCATCAATACGTTAGTTCAGAGACAGATCGATGCGCGATTGGGCGTCAAAACATGCCCAATGCTCAAAAGCACTCATTATTTCAGACATATTACTAGTAGTAGCGCCCGAGGCCAATCCGATCGTTATGTCACGCTACAACTGTTCATGGCTTCTTCTTCCCGCCCACCTCTACTGCAGTGTGGTGTTGACAACCTTACCTGCAGGTCCCGAAGTTACATTATTGAGGACTGTTTTAGAGATCCCGGCGGTCGGGATGTTTGTGCGGGTGGACCAGAGCGGGCGACCATAGATGACAACGTTGCGGTCGGGTTGGATGACGAGGACGTAGTAGCCAGGGCCAACGTTAGTTCTGCTTGACCACAGGCTACGCCGCTGCCGCTGTATACCACAAAGTTACCATCGCTCTGCAGGGTTGCCCAGCAGTCGCTGCCCTGGCGGAGGTTCCGGACGACCATACGGCTTCGCCGCTATACAGCACGAGATTGCAGTCTCCCCGCATAGTTAAAACGTACCCGCCCTCAGTCAATGATTGGCCAGAAAATAGGCTCTGGCCAGAGAAGAGGATGTTCCTGGTTGTGCAAGGGGAGCATAGGAGGCAAAAGAAGAAAGCCGAGAAAAGGGAGAAGTATTTTTCTGCCATCTGCAACAGTCCTACGATACTATCTATGGCCTATGGAACTGTGGTACGAGATTTGGTCCAGGTCCCTGCTAGTCCTAAACCCTCTATTTGTAGAGCTGATTGGTCGACCACACTAGCAGACAAGTTATATAAGCATAGCTGCTGTTTGGGTACTTCGTCTCACCAAATGCATCCATTAGATCGAATGCTGATCTGTGCTCGAGTATCTGTCAAGCAGGATGGTGATAACACTTAAATAATGCATTATTCATGAGATATATTGCATCAAAGTTCATGATTTTAAGACACAAATTCATTAACTTACTAATGAATTCTCATGTTTAGGGCACACATCGACATTCATACACATTTTACATATTTCATTCGTTTCTCATTGAATTATACATTTTTAGATACCTGATGTACATCATGTGAGAACACAATGCAATTCTTTATCTTCTAACCATGTGAGCTTCATATGTTAAGTGTTAGCTTACAGCTTATTAAGGAACGAAGATCATACTTGGTCATTGAGTGAAGAATTATAAGTTTAAGGCTCATAATCACATAAGGAGAAGCCAGCAAAGTGGGCTCAAATGAAGAGTATGGGCATAAGGCCCATATTCACTTAGAGGACATCACCCAAAGAGGTGAGGAGGAGGATCCACTGCCCACTTAAGGGGAATGGAGTATTGATCCAATGACCGAGATGCATACTTATCAAAGGCACATGATAAAGCACGAAGGAGGATCTACCGTCTACGCAAGAAGGGAGTGGTTGAGCTATTGATTTAAGGGTTAATCATGTTGTAAGAATTAGAGAGAGAAAGAGGGGCACCGTCATATACATACCATGTATCAATGATGAAAACCTTAGCTTATCCTTGTGGAACTTTAGGTGGTTGCCATCCCAGCAGGGTTCAAAGGGTCCCAAGCTCCATACCTCACAATCGAAGGTGTGTCATCTGTTCATTATTAGGTTATTCACCCTTAACAAGATTCTCTCCCACAGCTAGAAGCTTTCCACTCCTCCTAGTGAAAATAAGGAAGGAGATGTGGTGATAATCAGGTCGGTTTTCGAAGAACCTATGAGTCAAATGTTCTTAGTTAGGAAATAGATTTTGATTAGTATTAGAGTTGATCATGCGATCCCTTTGATCATGTGACTTCAATCATACTTCAACAAATTCGTTTCATGCCTCACTCCTTTTCTTCTCTTTTACTTTTCATTTCTTCTTCTTCATGATCTCAGTCATTTCTATCAATTTTAATCAACAAATAAAAGTGAATTCTACCATCATTCCCTCATAATCGATCCTCGAGCTTACCACAATAGTAAACTATTTCAGAATATAATACAAATGAGTAAATATGGGAGTATAAATATTATTAACTGACTGATTTTGGGGCTTTTCAATGACCCTCAAATTCAATCTATCAAATGGCTCACTACATCAAGGCGAATATGTCCTGGAGGTTAAAGAAATCAGAGAACTAGACGAAGTAATAACTAGGCTATTTGGTAAGCTAGGTAACTCACAAAATGGTCCATGGAATGATGGAGTGGAATCGGAACTGTGCCGTGGAGAGTATGCAAAGATCATAAGTCAAGATGCTCTATAGCGTAGTTGAGGCATGCGATTAGTGGTTGGTCTTTCAATCTGCTTGTGATGTCAACAGAATTGGTCGAACGGAACATCGTACTAGCTTCTTTTTACATCATTTAAGGTATG